TACATAGGGGGTACTGTTTTACACGTGAGACTTTGCTGAATACAAATATGTGTATTTTATTGCAGTAAAAGCAAACAGTATTATGACACTGACCGTTAAAATGTCATGTAGAACTAAAAAAATCCCAAAAAATCGTATTTTCTCCCATTTTTTTCATATTAAATTATGTTTCACAGCTAAATATTTGATATTAAATGAAAGCCCTGTTTCCCCTGAATAAAATGATATATAATAGGGGTGGGTGCATTTACTATGAAAGAGGTGAATTACGGTTGGACAGACATGTAGCGCAAATGCCAGGTTTTGTTTACATTTTGTTTTGTTCTATTAATGTACATTTGGCTCGATCCTTAAGGGTTAAATAACAAATCTTAACTTTTTTCTTTATCCTCCTGAATACCTCAGATTACCTCCAGGTTATCTCCTGAATATCTCCAACTACACACTTAGAAACAGCACTCTCCAGAATATCTCCAACTACACACTTAGAAACAGCACTCTCCTGAATATCTCCAACTACACACTTAGAAACAGCACTCTCCTGAATATCTCCAACTACACACTTAGAAACAGCACTCTCCTGAATATCTCCAACTACACACTTAGAAACAGCACTTGGAAGTAGCACCAAGCTATATTAGACAAGCTAATGAGACCAAGCCTTATATAACTCCTTAAATCACCGCCCACTAGGAATGTTTAACACCTGGGTAGGCCTCTGCTTATTTGCAAACAATAGCTAATTAACCAGCAATCAACAGCAAGTAACTATCTTAATCAAATCAAATGCCTTATAATCAGTGGTGTATCCTGGTTTTGTGCTGCCCTAGGCAGGACAAAACTCAGGCGCCCCCCTCCCCCCGCGCCACCCCCACCCAACCCTTCCCCCGCCCCACCTTCTAAATACACACACACACAGTCAGACACAAACACACACACACAGTCAGACACATACACAAACACACACACACACAGTCAGACACATACACAGACACAAACAGTCAGACACAAACACACACACATACACAGTCAGACACACACACACAGTCAGACACAAACACACACACAGTCAGACACACACAGTCAGACACAAACACACACACAAACACACAGACACACACAGTCACATACACACACACAGTCAGACACATCCACACACACACACACACACACACACACAGTCAGACACATCCACAGACACACACAGTCAGACACATACACAGACACAAACACAGACACAAACACACACTCACAAACACACACAGTCAGACACAAACACACACACACATTAACTTTTTTTTAAATTTAAATCCCCCCCCAACCTCCTTACCTTTGGGAGTGCTGGGGGGGGGTGGGGTCTCTCTCCCTGGTGGTCCAGTGGCTGCAGGGCGGGCGGCGCTGGCAGGCGGGCCGGCGGCCGGCGAGGGAGCACTTCCCATGAGCTGACTGCTCAGCTCCCTCGCGCGTCGGCTGCAGAGTGAGGCTGGGAACCGGAAGATGACGTCATCTTCCGGCTCCCAGCCTCACTTTGCGGTGCGCGAGGGAGCTGAGCAGTCAGCTCATGGGAAGTGCTCCCTCGCCGGCCGCCCGGGATGTCAGTTATCCGCAAGGCTAACAAGGCATCTGCCCTGGGCATTTGGGGGGCGGCGTTTTTTGCCGCCCCCTGAAAAATGCCGCCCAAGGCAAATGCCTTGTTTGCCTCGCGGCTAATACGTCCCTGCTTATAATTACCAACAGGAATTCAAACCTTGGGCAATCAGTAACCTTTTCCTACAGATGAATCTTACCTGTAACAGTAGAAAAGAAAGCTCTTAGCACAACTCTTAGACAGTTAAAGCTTCTGTATGAGGGGCCCGATCATGTGCTGTGGCGCTTGAACAGCGCGACCGGGCCCATTCTATCCTGCACAGCATATCACTTCCTCCCTTCTCACTTACACAGCCGCACGGCAGGAGGAAGAGAAGGGAGCCGCGAGGATGGAGCAGGCCCCCAGCTCCCACCAGCCACAGCCAGCAGAAGGTAAGAACCTGCTCGATGGCTTAATTTTTTAATGTGTGTTTGTATTTGTGTGGGAATCTGTGTTGTGGTGGAACAGACCTCGCCACGTGTTCTTGGAGGGCTGCTTGCCCGCCTCCTACCTTCTGATTATGTCCCTGGGATATATGGCATTTGAAAACACTATTTGTGCCCTGTGACAAAAATGGAGATTGTGCACAAATATGACTATTGTCCATATTTTTTATGATTCCCTTTGTTTGTTGCACTGTTCCCCATGTGTTTCATCTGTGTTTGTTGCACTGTTCCCCATGTGTTTCATCTGTTGGTTCGGCTGGATAGACTACCAGACAAACTGTGGAGTTACTGGGTGGCCACCATTTCATGTATCAGATGCACATGGTGAGAACAATGGATGAAGCATATGGTGAGAACAATGGATGGTGGCCATTTTAACTCACAGACTTTTGACTTTTCTACACGGTGCCATCTCGCCGGTATTTGGTGCACAAAGACATCGTTCAGTAGTTTTAAACTACAGAACAGGGGACACATTTAGCAGTAATTATTTTTCATATAGCCTGTATATGTTCTGCAGAATCTGCATTAAACTGTATCTTCCAAACTACTGAACAGATCTGGGTGAATTTTGGATGTGTGGTTCACCCAGATCCCACGGTTATTATACAACATATTGTGATGAGACCAATCTCGCCATTGTGCATTGGAGGAGCTTGGTTGCCCGCCTGCTGCCTTTAGACTATGGCCCCATGTTGAAACGCTTGATTTTCCCCTGCGGAGACACGAAAGCCGGGTCATTCGTTGCTGGCCCTGTTTGAGCGGTGATACCCCAGATAGCT